TATGTTTCTCGTCTTCCAGTTGACAGAACTCTCCTAATGTTATGTTCCTCGTCTTCTAGTTGACAGAACTCTCCTAATGTTATGTTCCTCGTCTTCTAGTTGACATAACTCTCCTAATGTTATGTTCCTCGTCTTCTAGTTGACATAACTCTCCTAATGTTATGTTCCTCGTCTTCTAGTTGACATAACTCTCCTAATGTTATGTTCCTCATCTTCTAGTTGACATAACTCTCCTTATGTTATGTTTCTTGTCTTCTAGTTGACATAACTCTTCTAATGCTATGTTTCTCGTCTTCTAGTTGACATAACTCTCCTAATGTTATGTTCCTCGTCTTCTAGTTGACATAACTCTCCTAATGTTATGTTTCTTGTCTTCTAGTTGATATAACCCTCCTAATTTTATTCTGATTGTCTATTTTTTTTTGCTATCAGAAGTCCCTCCCCCCAGTATGATTTTGTATTCCACAATTTAAATGATAAATGTCTTAGTATAAATGTAATCACATTTTTTAGACTGATTTTGTGAATTAATCTCATTCATCAACCATAAATCTTTTAGTGATGCCTAATACTCCTTTAAAAACATCTTGTCTTAGGTTTCTGTGTTATGAATAGCTCTTTGAATAGTTTTTATTTTATTTTTGTAGATTCCTCAGTGTATGAGTTTATTTTCTTATGTTTATTTTAAGTTTCAGTTTAATCAAATATTTCGTTAATAATAACAAATTGAAAAAGTGTTTTAATTAATTTCTAGTTTAACATTTATAGCTATGATCCTTTAGAATGATCTATTCAAGCATTCAGTGCTCCGGCTTTTGCATTAATAGCTCACTAGTTACTTTCTGTTGTAACTCCTATACTGGTAAGTTACTACAGTAGTTCATACAGTAGTCACTTGAAGTAACTTTCTGTTGTAACTCCTATACTGTTAAGTTACTACAGTAGTACATATATTAGTCACTTGAAGTAACTTTCTGTTGTAACTCCTATACTGGTAAGTTACTACAGTAGTACATAAAGTAGTCACTTGAAGTAACTTTCTGTTGTAACTCCTATACTGTTAAGTTACTACAGTAGTACACACAGTAGTTACGGTAGTACTTTCTGTTGTAACTCTTATACTGTTAAGTTACTACAGTAGTACTTTCTTTTCTGAGTTTCATATAAAACTAATGTGTATGTTGCACACTGTACATAAACATTTCAAGTTTTTAATACTAGTATGCATGTATGTGGGTGTAAATAAAAGATAAACACTTGGTAAGTAGGTGTTTTAAGTAGATTTTCTTGTATTGTTATCCATTTTAATTTGATCTTTGAATTAAATGTAAGGCTTATTATAGACTATTCAGTTGTCTGTACGAGGATTTTCAAGTATATAATATATATATGTATAGTATTGTATCTGTTGCACTGGATTTCTCTTTTAGAAAATTTTATTGCTTAGTGGCATTACTTGTGGTTAAGTGTTTAACATGAAATGTTTTTTATTTATTTGTTTATAACTTTTTAGAAAAGTTTTAACAGACTTTTTTAATTTTCCAAATTAAGATCTCATGAAAATTTTCAAATATGATTTAGGTAAGTGTTTCTTACCATTGTTTGTAATTTTTGTCAAAAGAAAGAACAAATTGGCTTTTAATTAAAATAATTTGTTCACGGCTTCTTATGAATGTGCTGGAATGGAAATTTATTTGCTTAATGATATTTGACTGTTTGTGGAAATAAGAAGCCCATTTGCATAATGGTAATCAAGTATTTTCTGAAGCCAGGAGTTTATTGTGTTAATATTTATACTGGCTCAATAATACACAAACATTCTACAATGTAAAAAAAGTGTATATAAGGATTAAACTGGTTTAAAGCTGTTTGGTTGATAATCTTCAAATTTCTATTGAGGTAAAACCTGTTCGTAAATATACTTCTCTTGAGAAACTAAGAATCGCCAAACAACATTGGGTTGGTAAAGTTCATAGGGGCTAAAATGGAGTATTCACATAACCTAAAGTATAGGTTTAGCAAATTGTTTTGTTGTATATTTGACACATTTTTTTTTATGTAGCTCATTATACATTTATCATATTGTTTTGTGTACTTCTTTGTATATTTAATGTATTGTTTTTATGTAGTTCATTATATAGTTAACACATTGTTTTTGTGCACTTTCTTCTACCTTTAACATGTTTTTGTAATGTATTTTAAATTTGGCACATTGTTTGTATTTTGTTTTTCATTCAACACATTGTTTTTGTGTATTTTGTTTTATTTAACACTTTTTTACTTCATTGTACATTCAACACATTGTTTTTGTTTACTTTGTTTTATGTTTGACACATTGTTTTTGTTTACTTTGTTTTATGTTTGACACATTGTTTTTGTTTGC